GTCCCAGTCATGGGACGAATACATCGATTGGGAAGCTTGTGGAAGCCTGTGAAAACATAATTTTTCCTTATTTAATTATTTAGTTTCGAAAAAAAAAAAAAACAAAGAGCGAATACATTTTCTTCCTTACATAATATATACATCTATATATATATATTTTTTTACATTTTTAGACATTTAACAGACCTGACAGTAGAGCATGGTTGGTCAGGATGTAATAGGGCGAGTTGTGGGGCCCTATTCAAAGAAAGACTATTACCTATTTCCAAGGACATTTGATCCTTACGCCAGATAAAAATTTATACGAAAGAATTAGGCGAAAAGAAAAATTTAAATACGGTGGAAAAGAAAAACTTAAATACGCCGAAAGGATTATCGACCTATATCGCAGTGGAAAATATAACAAACTACTGACAGAAGAAAGCGCAGCATCAAGTAAGAACCCCAAAATCGAGGGGTTGACCACAAGAAAGGACTCGAGCGTGTCACTTGATAAATGATAGCAATTGATATTGCTACCAAAACGGAATTGGAGTGAAAGACCAAACATTGATGAAATTGAAAAACTAAAAAGTGGTAACAACACTATAACAAAAAGTGGAAATCAGAAACTCAACAGTCATTAACAAGAGGAACAGAAGAAGAAAATAAATCGTCTAAACAACAATTCGAAACCTTAAAAACCCGACGTTAAACACATTCCGGTCCACGTCGTCGGTATCCTGGCAACGTGGAAAGAGAAACAGAAATAATACCTTTAAGGATAAAATTTGAAAAAAAAAAAAATAGATCCACAACAATTCTCAGCGTTGAAGGCTTACCTTCAGTACCGGCAGTATCTGCAGCACTACGATGATCAACAAAGAAAACAGCTAGAGAGACAAAGCAAGTTCTATCAAGTTAAAAACGGAAGTCTATGCAAGAAAAATAAAAAGAAAAAGGGCAACTTACTCAAGGTATTACGGGAAGAAGAGTTAGAACCCATATTGATCTTAGCCCACGATCATCCATTAGACGCTCATTTCGGGAAAGATATTATGTTTAATAAAATCCGCGAATACTACTATTGGCCGCAGATGTATAATGACATACGTGAATATGTCAAAACTTGTGAGACTTGTCAAAAGCACGGAGATAAGAAATTGAAAGAACAATTACACCTGATACCTGTCAAAGCCCCTTTTTATAGAGTAGGGATAGATATAGTTGGCCTGTTACCCCTTACACCACGATCTAATAAATATATTGTGGTAGCGACCGATTATATAACCAAATGGCCTGAGGCTCGCGCAATTCCCAAGGCAAACACCAAGGAGGTGGCAATGTTTATCTACGAAGATATCGTATGCAGACACGGATGTCCAAGCATCATATTATCAGATCAAGGATCTCATTTCAATAACCACGTAGTGGATGAACTT